GGTCACAGGCATATGTCACCATGCATGCCTTGCTTGAGACAGACCTTTTCATCAGCAGAAGCAGACCTCGAGATACCCCATACATAGCTCAGCTGATGAAGTGAGGACGAAGTCAGAAATCCTCACAAGCTTGTTGTTGGTTTTGTTTGCTCTTGTTTTTGTAGCTAACCTTTATGTCTTGAAGATGAACTTCTTCTGAGACTCTGGTCCTGAAGGGTCACTGACAGGGCACTCAAGACATTTGTCCTGTCTCCTCTTTCCTTCATAGAACCCAGGGGGAAGGGTCTAGGGGAGGGTTTTGGGTGGTGGGAAACGGAAGGGAGAAATGTAATTTTATTATCTCAAAGATAAAATAAGAAAATACTAATATCGCTTCTTATATATACAGAAAAAAAAGAATTTTCTTTTTAATTCTTTTATAATTTTTTTCTGCCTTTTTATTAGTAATGAACTTACTAGAACACTGACTTGGTTCGGATGTCATGGCACATTTCTATTCATATGAGTATGAGTCTGTGGATGTTCATATTTGTATGAAGCTCAGTGTAAAACAAGCATTTATTATAGACTGTTTTTAGAACTAAATAACCAAGTTAATTAGATATGCAGATTAAGTGTAAGTGCTGGGTTTTGGTATGGGACATTCTACTTCTGCATTTCTTTATAAGCCCTAGTATTTTTATATATGGTAGCTATTGGAGATAGCTCAGGTGATAAAGTAGATGCTGTATAAGAATTTACTTGAGTTCAGTTTCCAGAACCCACATTTTAAAAGCTGGCTGTGATAGCATGAATTTATAATCCCAGCACTGGAGAGACAGATGATCCCTGGGGCTTACTGGGCAATCTGCCTAGCCAAATTGGTGATCCACAGACCAATAAGACCCCCTAGTCTCAAAAACCAAGATAGACAGCTCCTAAAGAACAATACCTAAGGTTTCTTGACATGCACATACAATCATGCTTTTATACATACATACATACATACATATATATATATGTATGTATGTATGTATGCACAGAGAGAGAGAGAGAGAGAGAGAGAGAGAGAGAGGAGAAAATCTGATCTTTACAATATGATACCTTTTTTTTTCCTTATTTTTCAGTCATGTGCCTAAGAACACCACCATTCAGCAGGCTCTGAAATGCCTGAGCATGAATTTGTAAACATTTATGCCTATTGTATAACAGTACTACACTAGGCATCTTTTTCTCAGATACAGTTTTGACGTTTTGACCTCTGTTATACCTCCTCTTCCTCTGTCCAAACTGTGCTTTCTGAGTCTGCAAGCCACTTCTTTTCCCTAGCTCATTTATAAAGTCTGATATGCCGAAAATGCACACCAACAGGAGATAAGACAGAAACTAGAGAAAGGAAATCAGTGCCCAGAACAGGTTAGTTTATGGTATTGAAGTCAATGCTTAGGAGGAAGAGGAACAAAGAAAAATAGGTAAAGAGACCATAGGTACATGGGATCAGCAAAAAACAGAAAATGGAAATAAAAGGACCAGAAAGGGAAGAGTTTGGATTCCCACCAAAGCCTAGTGCAAATTTGTTCAAGGCACTAGAGCATGATTTGGCATCTTGTCCTGAGCCATACACTAGATAACCAAACATGGTCAGGACCTCAAAAGCTGTGATACTGGCATTTGCACAAAGCTAGAGCTAGTTGCTTTCTAGGTTCCTTTTAAGTCTTAAGATTCTGGGTTATTCTATTGCTGAAGATCACATACATTTGTTACAAAATGTGAAATTAAGCTAGAACTGGGTCAGAAACTTTCACATTGCCTGAAGGAGCTGTGCATACTACTGGGAAAGAAAAGGCACCAATGGTCTGTGAGCCCTACAAGCTTGAATACCATTTTGCCAGGCAAGACATTCCCACAGGTATTACAGCTACACAAACCACTGTGGTGGTGATTATTTGCTCTCTGACTGGATTTGAGGCCTGCTCCACAAGAGGGGACTCATACCTGGCACTGTGAACACAGTCACAGCCACCCTGTGGCTACAAGTTCCAAGAGAACTCACTACAGTTACTTACATAGATTGACATGGCATCAAACTGCCTTCTAAGTATTTTATGTATATACATAGACAAATACTACACTCAGTCAGAGAGGCTTCTCTTGTCAAAGAACTGTGGTGAACCCAGAGACCGCTCAAGGTCCATAGAATAAGGGATGACTCAACATTCAATCTTTAACAGAGCAACTATATCAACCTCCTCCATGGCTGAGAGAACAAGAAAGAAGTGTCATAAGAAAGGCTGCACGATGCTATCTTCTGGGCATGACACAGCCATTGCAAATATTCCATGACAGCAGAGGCTATCTATGCTTGGCCTGTACAAGACTTAGCCTGTCATCAATCAGTCATGGATAGAGAGGCAGACCTCACCTAGCTGAACTTTAGCTACTAGTAAACTCTGGGGAGGAGCAGTCATTGTCTTCAATTATGTGCCCAAAGGTGAGCCTACTAGGCTTGATTGGATAATTTGAAACCCCTAGTCACACAAATGATGCTGGTTAAACTCACCAAGTACCAAGACAGAAGGGGAGAGAGGAGCATGAGAAAGGGACTTGTAGAAAAGAAGGGCTTAGGTTGGAGGTAGAAGAATGGGGTGAGAGTGACCATAATTTACTGTGTATTTATGCAACTGTTAAAGAACAAGTTTAATACAATTTATAAAGAAATCCTGGGTTGAACAGAACTGTACTCCTGTAAACACAGCTAATATGCTACACATCAGAGTGAGACAGGCTGAAGCATCGCTTCAGGACCACTGGTCTACTTGAAAGCTAGGCAGAAAGAATTCGGATGTTACAATGGTACATCCTTAGAAAATCACAATAAAGCATCTTTCTCCTCTTAGTAATAGCATGGTTGAGCATTGCTTTCTTGACCATTGAAACCTTGTAGTATGTTTGAGATCTGATCAAAATAGTTATAAACATAAAGTAAAGCCTAGCAAATAAAGGACTAAAGCACTAAAACTGGCATTGGCAAGTCAGTCCAACTTATGTCAAATAGCCATAAATGTGCAGCACACACTGCCACTGTGAACCTTCAAACTGTACTTTTAAATGTGACTACTGTTTGATAAAAAAAAAAATTCCAAACAAAACTGTGTTGATACATTAACTTGGAAAGTGATCATTTCAAAGTCCTTCCTTCCCCTCTGCTTAAATGTGTAACAGCAAACCAATCTATTCAGGACATTCTACTCAAATGTGATACAACCAGGAAAGTGGTGCACGATAGTTAGGAAATGAGCAGCACTGGAGAAGGGCTAATTCTAATCCTTTTCTTTGTGAGTCTCTAGAATCCAGCTTATAGCCTCCTCTCTTATGAAGTCTTATCATCACACTTTGTTTTCTCTCTTAGGATTTAGTATGGGAACTTGGACACTGAGAGGTTGGTGGCATATGGCCTGTGCCACCAGTATCTACTGCATTAATCTAGACAAGCTTGTTGACCTTAACAAGCCTATATTCCTTCTTTTTTTTAAATAGGTTGCATCTGGGCATTCTGAGGATTTGAGAGAGAGAACATGCTTGTGGTGCTCACAGCCTGACATAGACATACCATTCGCTTTATCAACTTCATTGCTGCAAATATTTTCTGCTACACAATCATGCACTTGATTCATTTGCATTCTGACTCTTCCTTATATTTTTCTGAAATTAGCACATGCTCAATTAAGTGTTTAATTCAGAGAAGGTAAAGCAACAGTAAAGAATGGGAGGATTGGAAGTAAGATGTGAGGTAGGAGCATCCACTGTATACTTCACAAAGGAACTAGAAAAGTGCTGTTGACTAGTGTTAGCAGAGAATTCAGCCTCGATGAGAGGCAGTGGAGAGTACCACTGGTGAGGATAGAGAGCACTGGTGCTGATAATGGGAAGGGAAGGGCTTTGCTCTAGTAGAGTAGACTTGTTTATTCTGGGGAGGAACAGAAATTCAGAAAGCTACCATAGCAAACTAAATTGGAAGAGTGTTAGTAGAGGGTATTGAAGGGTTTCGAACCGTCTGCTAGTGGAGAGTCATAGTTATAGGTCAGTCACATTTAGGAGTTATTTCTGTGGAAGTAACCTACAATTCTGTGCAGACTTCAAGCTCAGAAATTACTAGTAAAAAGGATGCTTATTTCCTCTATCTTTTTGTTGTTGTTCACTAGAAACTAAGATACTTTGGCAAAATATAAGTGGATGCAAACAACACAGTCAGCCATCCAACTTTATAAAATGGCACTTCCCTAAGAGCTGTCTCTTCAGAAATGTGGTTCTGTGTGAGTTAGAGGTTCATGGAGGTATATGGAAAGAGCTCCACCTCGGCTTCAGTGTTGTCTACTGCCATGTCAGTCTGTGCAGCCACAAGGCCCGTTCATGTGTAGAGGCTGTGTCTTTAGTGGAACAGAAAGCTTAGTTAGAGATGTCAGCACTGTCATCCAGCTTAGTCCTAAAGCCTGGGAAACTGCAGCACCAGCAGTGTTTGACCTGTGCACATCCTTTCTTAGTTATTTGAGCAGAGCCCATTGTTAGAGCACAGCTGTGCGTGCCCTACTACCCACATCTGTCTGCTGTGATCATCTGCTACTCTCTTGCTATCCCCTTGGTGGCAGTGGCTTTCTACTCCTCCTTGTTCCTGCCTTGCTTGGGAAAGCAAAACTCACTAACCCCTTACTTGGTCTCTGTGAGTGTCATCCCTTCAAAAGACCTGCCCCCACCTTCTCCCATCTGTGCTCTCTATGTCAGTTCCCCCTGTCTCCATGACTTCACATATTAGTGAATGTCTTTCTCCCACTTGAAAGTAACTTCCCTCCAATTAGTCATAATTGGTACCTAAAATGTAGGGACTTAGTTAATATTTATTACATGAATAATACAAATTTTGGTGGTTGTCAGACCTAACTTGTTCTTTAAAGATAATTCTGGAGGTACTTAAGTTTGGAAATCATGTGAAAAAAATATTAAATTATTACTTCTTTTTCTTTTAGAAAAATAACTTGGGACCAATAGAGAAACTTTCTGTCCGCAAACAGCGGTTCATGCAGTTTTCATCCCTGGAGCATGATGGAGAGTATTACATGACACCCCGAGACTTCCTCTTCTCAGTCATGTTTGAGCAAGTGGAGCGTGAGTACTATGCTGTTTTATGTTGTTTTGTTTTTTTAAAGCTTAGACATGAGGGTTGAAATTTTTTTTAAAATTTGTGACAGCTTTTTTGCATTTGAATTATTATTCCTTGTACTAGGCATTTTCTTGTTATAATTGGACAGTTACAAACTTTCATATGTATCTGCTTAAAAGTAGTTATTTTGAAAAAAAAAAAAAGTAGTTATTTTGTATGGATTTTTCTAAATGAGAACAGCAAGTTTTTAAGGTACCTGAAAACACTATTTGACTGGATATTAGTTTTTAGTGGAATTGAGGTTTTAAATTGAGAAGAAAAATAAAGTAGATTAATTATTAAAGAGAAACATTTATCAGAGTAATAATGTTATTATGTTATTTTGTTGTAAGTAGAAAAATCCCAAAGGGAACAATGTAACCAAAAATTAAAATAACAAAGTACAATTACTTTATAAATGGCAAACTCACAATTGTCCCATGATGGCAGGAACCCCCAGGTTTATCACCTGAAGCAGCCCTTCTCACTGTGCAACAGATATGTATGCACTGTAGTGCCATAAGGCCTGTCATGCTGACTCTACAAAATGCTGGGTTCACTGTAAGTAACTTAAGTACAGCAGAAGGCAGAGGCAAGGCAAGTGGTCAGAGCAGGATGGGGGGCACTGGCTGAGCAGTGCAAAAACAGAGTGAACATGAGGAAGCATCCCAGGGACAGGATGTCCACAGGACACTGGAGACAAAGAGCTTGGAGCAGTCTTGGAGATTACACTGAAGAACAAATAAGGGCTAGATGGTACAAAAGTTCTCAGTGACTGGCTCACCCACCCAAGGAATGTCTACTTGGCAGAGCTGTGTGGACTTCATCTTGAGGGAAGAATGAAGGTTTAAGAATTAGAAAATAAAATAATAAAAATGTGTTTAGATTACTTTAATCTAGTTCCATGGAGGGAAATTTAGCAGAATGTGGCAAAACTTTAAAAATGTTGACCTACATTGGTACAGTAGTTTGGGCCAGATTTGGTGGCACACACCTTTAATCCCAACACTCAGGAGGCAGAGGCAGGGGGATCTTTGTAATCTACATAGTTCCAAGACAGCCAGGGCTATATAGTTCAAACACAGCCTCAAAAACTTGGCAATAAATAGAGTACTTCAACCTCTGGTATGAACATAACGTGGACATTCTCACTCCTGTCCTCACAGCAGAAAAAGGAAAAATGGTGAAAAATATAACATCAGCACCTCAGATCCATTCAGGGTCACAGCAGAATCAGGGTCATAGAACACCTTGATCTGTAACCTGGAGGCAGATAGAGGCAGAGGGTCAGTCAGGGCTTTCTTGGGTCAGAAGCCTCCCAGCATCTGCCAGGATCCTATATCAGAAATAAAGAATCACAATCTGAGTGTAAACCAACTTATGAGATAAAAACTCCTGAATAAGAGGGGCAACATGGCTCAGAAGACAAGAGTACTAAGCTCTTAATACCTTGAAGGTATGTGCCATGCATGTGTGAGCACATACAAATGATAAAGATTTAGTTTTAATTACGTGCATATGTCTCTGTGTGGGCATGTGCACCTGAGTGCAGATTCCTGATGGCTGTGAGCTGCCCAGCATAGGTGCTGGGAACCAAACTCAAGGTTGAAGAAATGGCTCAGCAGTTAAGAACATTTGATGTGCTTTTAGAAGACCCAGGTTCAAGTCCCAGCACCCACATGGCAGCTCACCAAGTATCTGTAATTCTTGTTCCACAGGCATTAAGCATACATGTGGGATATACATACATACATACATACATACATACATACATACATACAGGATACTCACACATAACATAAAATAAATACATCTTAAAAAAAAAAAGCCTGCCTCTCTCTGCCACTGCTAGTTCTATTAAATAGACTTAGAGCCAAGCAGGGTTTGCTCTCAGAAAAGATTAATTTCTTATGAGAGTTAGTTAATAGATTTCACTGAGGATACTGTTCTGCTCAGAGGCACCCTGCTTGATCATCCATCAGCAACAGATACCAGGGGCATCTGAGTCTCCAGAGATACACATGTGCAGCATTCTTCCTTATGGCAGTGTGTGTGTCTGTGTATGTTTCCCTGAGGTAGAGAAAGACACATGTCTTAAACAAGATAAAAGTACTAACCAGAGGAGCGAGATTCAGCCATATTAAAATAGAACTTTGTTCTCAAACATTGCCTTAAAGAAATTGAATGACAAGGCAGAAAGCTTCCAGAATTTATTTATAGCACATAAACTGGACAAGAGTCAATATTTACATGGGAAACTACAGTTTTAAAGGAGGATTGCACACGGAAGACTGAGGACTGGCTCATTTCTGGGTGTGCCAAATGACATGGTAATTACTGAAAAGTGACATCACTGGAGAAACTGTCATTTCAGAGAGGGCCATTTGGCCTGTCTTCCTGAATGCAGCAAGCCATAAAGATTCTTTTGAGAGGGACATTCTTCACAAAGCAAAGCCAGAAAAACAGCCTTGATCACCAGACTGGTGACTGCAGTAATTCATCACAGCCCCAATTAACAAGTTCTTTGAAGTAACCTTTAGCTTCCATTAGCTTCAACCTATCCCCCCACCCCCACCCCAGATATCTCTTAATGATGCCCCTAGAATTTACCTTAGTGCAGAGATCCATTTGTCCTGTCTGTCTTCACAAATTGATTGTTGTCTAAATATCAAAGCATCTTGCTTTGGTTGTTCTTCTGGCTTCACTTTCTGGTGAGGTTCTACACACACACACACACACACACACACACACACACACACACACACACACGTGTCAGCTTAATAAAACAGGCTTTCTTTAATACTCATTAGATTCATCCAAGAGCCTGCAAAGGGCTGAGGGTGGCAGTGTACTTACCTAGGCTGTGTGAGGCCCCAGCTTCCATCCCTAGAACTGCCGCAAGATTAGGCAGGGAAGAAAGCATTCCCTCTTGGTCTTTTCCTCTCCCCCTCCCTCCCTCTGTACCACTATTAAAAATGGAAGAACAGATATTCACAGAGGAAGAAAGCAAGAAAATGAACATAAATACATCCCTTGTTTGTAACTGTGGTGAGAGGAAAGTTTACACTTGCTGTATTGGCAAGTCTCATCACAGAGGTTGAGGAGGCTGCAGTCAGAAGTGGAGGGCTCCCAGGACTTTTACGTTTACACACTCTTGGTTGGAATTGGAAATGGAAAACTCCAACTACTTTGGAAAACAACTTTAACTGCCTTGGAAAATTAAGCATAATTTTTGACCAAAATTTGCATTCCTAGGAGTACATATATACCTGATAGGAACACTTATTGGTGTGTCATAGGATATATGCAAAAGAGTGTTATAGCAGCAGTGTTAGGTTAGCAGAAAGCTAGAAAACACCACATGTCTACTAGAGAGAATGGATAAACCAGGGTGTGTTCACACTGGGGAACGATTTAGGAAGAGTGAATGACCAGTGTCTGTTATGGCAGTGGAAAGAACCTATAGATCCATTGTTCAATGAAACTAATAGAAAAAATTGTCTGGAAATGAGTCTGAGGTTTTATAGGAAGCTTAGAAATACCTATTCAAGTAAAGCTACTAAAATGGATAGAAAATATTCAAATCTAGAGTACTCTTATACTGGCCCGTCCACCTACTTGTTACAACTCAATGAGATGGGAATTCATTCTAGACTGCTACAACAGGAACACAGTTCTCAGAGGGCTATTGGAAAGGGCAGTGCATTAGTACTTTACTAAGGAGAGGATGCAGGGTGGGGCACCCGCCCCCATACACTCCTTATTTGTAGAGTAGAATCTCTAACTTGCATGCTGTTCCACTGAGAACACTGGAAACCTGACTCCTCTTGTTCTGGCTTGAAAGGCAGAGAGAACATCCAGAAAAAAGAGATGGAAGTCCTGAGGTTCATTTGCTGGACCAGGCTATTACTACTCAGAAAGAACAGCAATGTTGTCCTTATGTCTGGCTGTAGAGCTCTGTCCTCCAAAGTTGTTTCTGCCTGAGTGATAGAAGCTGGTTTAAAAAGTAGCTTCTGGTCTCTCTCCAATGATAGCAACCTCACTTTAACATAAAGTAGAGACTTTCCAGCACTGTCAGAAATGGGTCCAGGTAAGCTAGACATACTAGCACATGCTTGTAATCTCAACACTCTGGAAGTCGTGGCTGGAAGATTGCTAGTGTGAGACCAGATGAACTCCATAGCAAGAAAAACCCCATCTCCAAAAATAAATAAATAGGTATAGGTTGTGGTAAAAGGGAGTCAAGAGGTCAGGGAGAGTCAGTGAAGGGAACAGGCTAAACTATGTGCTGGTTACTTTGCAGAAGCACTTAGGAAAGAGAAAAATGGGGAGCCTTCAGGGGTCCTAACAACTATTAATCACCCCAATGGGAATTGTTCCTTCATGGGAGCATAAATTGGAAAGATGACCTGTAGAGCAGTGTGTCCATGGTTCTCGTCAGTCATCAGGGCGAGAATGTCTGCACCCAGCACCTTTCGAGGTCAGAAAGGAACTCCACAACTCCAAACCCCACCTCGTCCCTGTGGCTGACTTACAGTAGGCCTCACTGGGGAATTCCCTCAAGTGCTAGGGTTAGAGGGCAGGGTGATGCATGGTCCTTCCTAAAAACTGTCCAGCCAGACACTGAGCATGCTCACAAGCAGTGAATGACAAAGGGAGTGAGTACCCAGATCCTCCACAGTACGTCCTCTGAACTAACACACTGTGGGGAAGGAACTAGTAGCCAGATTTCTGCAATATATAATCTAAAATATCCAAAGACAACAGCAAAAATCAAAAACTACCAAGAAACAAGAACACGTAGCATCACTGGATAAAATCAGCAACAGAAATTGCTTGTGAATTGCAACCAGATAACAGATTTAACAGAAAAGACATCAAAATAGCCCCTAAAATATGTTCAAAGAGCTACAGTAAACTGTAATTAAAGACCGTGACATTTCCACTTTTATTATTCATTGGAATG